GAAAGTGGTGCCCCATTGGAAAGCCCCCCCCCCCCCCAGTTGCACCACCTCCAACCACCACCTGAACTCCAAACCTCCACTGAGACAAACTCCAAGCAGATCCTCAGGGACCAAAGAGTGAGGCAGAAAAACAGACCCCTTTTTCACAGGAGAAGGAAAGACCTGCAAAATTGCAGGGTTTAATTTCAGCCCAGCCTTCGATGGCAGGCACGGACTTTGATTTCTGGTCGAGCGAGTAGGCTTGTAGCTTAGGTTTCAAAACCAAGTTGGGAATGAGGGGAAAGGGTCCCTGTCTGAGACCCAGGATGGTGGCTTCAAGTCAAGGAGACAAGTATTGCAGGCCAAGTGGGCACTGATGGAACACCGATTCCTGTCCTCCTGGAGCGACAGAAAGATGCCCAGAGCAGCTGTTGACCAACACAAGATGTCCATAAGATGATGTGTTTTGGGGTGGTGGTGGGGAGGGATGGCTCCCATAGGGTCAAAACACAGCCTTGGTGCTGATGGTTACAGCAATCTGGCTTGGGCTCAAACAGGGCAACCGTGGTTCTCTTTGTCTGTCTCTAGAGCGTCCCTAGCACACTGCAGAAACTGACATTTCTGGAGACGGAGGAAGGATCTGAAGGAGACCAGACCCAAGATTTCAGCACCGTCCAGCACCCCGAGATCTGGCAGGTTGCCAGCAGGAACCCCTGACTCATTTCTCCATTCATGAATTTAGACTTTTTTGTTCCTCAGCTCAACTTTCTCTGCCCCTTTGGGTTTTCCTCCAGGCCAGTCTCATCTCTCTGTCCTGCACTGACGTCAAAATAAAACCTTTGTTTTCCGTGCATCCCTTTATTTTCATGTGGGAAGTGTACATGGCAGTCATGCATTCAAAAGCTGCTTTTCACAGAAGGGGACTAGAAACCTGGATGATGGCAAATCCTTATCCTGGTTGTACGTGGACGGAAGTCTAACCCATCGGCTCAGTAGGTGTCTTTCTATCATCAGTGTCCCACTACACAGAGTCAGAAGTGGTCATGCCCACAATTTGTCCAATTTCTGCCTTTTGGGATTTGCAGGGCAGGTAACAGACATTTCTCCATTAACTTTTTAAACCACTCCTCAGTTATGAGCAGGAACGTGTCATCTGCTCATCAGCCCTCCCCCTCACAAATCCATCACGTCCGTAAAAAATGCAACTTCCCTGGTGATGTCCAGCGACAACGGATGGATTTGCACAAGGCAGCCAACTTGGGGTCTGGCCTCCATGCTGTGGGTCAACAGCACTGGGTCCAGGACGCCCCAAACCACCAGCGGGGATCATTTTTTCAGTTCTCACAGCAAAGGAGACTAGAAGGCTGGCATTTCTCTTCCTGCTTTTCAGTATTTTTATTTTTGCACCAGAACAGAAACCAGGGATGGGATAATCCGGGTCGGCGACATTGCAGGGGTGTGTGTGTGTGTGTGTGTGTGTGTTGAGGCTAAAAGCAACCCCCTCTATTTAACTGGCTTAGTTGGTTGGGGAGGTAGTTCACACGCAACACACTAACCGCCTGCGGTGGCCAGACTGGAACGTCCTGCAAACAGCCCCAGAAGTTGCAACAGTCCCCATGGAAATTCAGATGAAGCTACTTTTTTGGAAAAAGCCCTGAAAGTCTTAAATGCCTCTTTTTAGCATTATGACTAGGCTGCTTCCAAGAAACATGCCCCACTTGTTTATCTGATTTACACCTTTCGTTCCGGAGCAAACGGCAGTGTGCCCCTCCTCCCATTTCCCCCACAACCACCACCTGGTGAGATAGGCTGGGCTGAAAGAAGTGCCTGGTGCCAAGCCACGCAGGGAGCTTCTGGGGCTGAGGGGGGCCCAGAGCCTGGATCTCCCCAAGGCCAGTTCCACACCTTAACCCCTGCATCTCACCTAGCCGTCTTATACGGCCACTGAAGAGACAATGATTTCTGCAACGTTCTTCTTTCATGTTTGCATCTCGGAAAAGGCTGCCTTAATTTTGTTTGCTGGGGGGCTCAGCAGCCGATTCCACTCCCTGGAACCCCCCTTTCTGCTAACAGCTGCTAAACCCCTGTGAAGGGAGGGGGTCATCCTTGGGGGAGCTGCTCTAACAGTTGTGCCATGAAGGTCTTTCTCGCTCTGCTCTGCACAACACAGAGCAATGCCACAAAGCCAGCCTCCTCACCACCGCAGACCACCGCCATTTAAAATCGGAGCCTTGCAGAAGGATTTGGCTGAGTTTCGGCTCTTGAGAAACCTCCAGGGTCCGGGAATTGCCCAGGTGTGCAATTGCATTCACATACGGTGTTTAATCTTACCTTTTCCACAAGGCCACATGGATACCATATATATTCGTGGATAAGCCGAGAATTTTAGGGGCCGAAATACACCCCCAAAATTCAGTTCAGCTTCTCCGCGGATGGACTTCTCTGCGAGTATATAAGGTAAAAAAAATTTAAAGTACCCCTATTTCCCGTATATACTTGTGGAGAAGCTGACCCTTGAATTTTTAAGCAAAATACCATGAAAAACGCTCCACCTGTGGATAAGCCAACTGTGAAAATTAAAAAATATGACAATTTCGAGGGTCGGCTTACCCGTGGGGAGCATACCTGTCATGCCATTTTGCTTACAAATTCGAGGGTCGGCTTATCCGTCAGTATATACGGTAATATACCCGGGTAATATACACCATTCCTATTTTACCCTCCCAACAGCCTAGTAAGTGTGATGGAATGGACTTATGAAGGCCAGGCTCGGGGAGATAAGCGTGTTCTTAGCCCCCAACAGGAGCGTGGGAAGCTCAAGAAGATGAGGCTCGGGGAGATAAGCGTGTTCTTAGCCCCCAACAGGAGCGTGGGAAGCTCAAGAAGATGAGGCTCGGGGAGATAAGCGTGTTCTTAGCCCCCAACAGGAGCGTGGGAAGCTCAAGAAGATGAGGCTGGCACCTCCCTAAGGAATTCAGGGTGTTGTGGCTGGCTGGCTGGCTTGGGAACTGGGGTTCAGTCTGGGGAGATTTCTGTCCTGAGGTTGAAGCTAATAAACGCAACAGAACTGTATTTGCATTGTCTCTTGGAGTTCTTTGGGCTGAACCTGATAGTAAGGGAGACCAGGCTGAAAGACAACAGCCCCAATGAGGCCCTCTGAGCTCCGTGATGGAGTCAAACTTGAGCCTCCCAATCAAAATCTCCAGAAAGAAGAAAAGTGGTGGATGAATTCCCCCCCCCCTCCAGGAAAACTGGAGACCCACAGGGACATCATTGTACTGGGAATGTGCCGAGCCTACACCCAGAAGCACACGGCCATCCAAATTAAAGCAGAAGCATCACGTCTTGGTGGCCCCTGGGAGAGATCCTCCACCTACCCTCGCTGTTTCATGTGTTTTGAGTGAGAATCCTGAAAATGAGAACAGGTTCTTCGCAGACATTTTCCTTCCCTAAAAAATGAAACTTCAGAGGCTGAGAAGTCTGGACTTCTTCCCAAACGCATCTGCAGCCTGGTCAACAGGACCTCTCTTCCCACCTGCCGTCGCCCTTAGATCAGGAACTGCTTTTCCACCAAGGTCTTCTCTGCCAGATTTCGCCTTCCGAGCGTGTTGCGCACCATTTTCACAAGCTGAAACACAGACACACCTCGGTTTGTTCTGGGGGCAGCAAAGTCTCCGGTGCTTGTGTTCCCTCTCGCCAGAAATGGCCAGAGAAAAGCAAATGAGGTCCATCCTACAGCCATCACAGTAGACCTCTGGCCACGTTTACTGTGTGCCACTGCCACGCTGGTGGTGATAGCTTTGTAGCAGCGGGCGTGGCTGGCTGAGATGCATCCTGATTGCACATAAAATCATCCCACACCCTCCGCAATACACATATAGCATTTAGGGCCAGATTCAATCTCACATCTTATTTATACCTTGAATGCTCCCAGGAGTAACGTTATCACTCACGCATGGTGAGGCGGCCAGCTTCCAATTAATTAAAAAAAAAAAAATTGGGGGGACAAAAACTTATTTTCCTTTCGCTACATCCTGCATAATTTTAAGAAAATGAAGGGAAATGCCACTTTTCTACTCTTTCTATCTAGCATCTTTTACCTTCTGCACAGCAAAGGTAACAACTGTCGATAGCACAAAGTTCTGTGACCCGAAATCCACAGCACAGAACAGCAAGGTTTCAAAGAGAAGCAGCAAAAACTCATGGCCGTAGAAGAGTGTCCAGGTGAATAACGCACCGTCATCTAAAGGAGAAAGATGCCAGAGCCAAGCTTCACTCAGAACATCGTGCAGGATAATTCTGGACGTTCACATCTCACCTCCATCCACAGCCTGCGTCATGGGGACCTGCCCTTAAAGCTAAATTCCCATAGGAAGGAACAGGGCACGTACCGTTATAGAGAATTGAGAGGTCTCCTGGCTCCTGAAACTCCAAGTCCATCATCCTCTCCAAGAAAAACTTATCCTTCACTACATAGTCCATATCTTTATGCCTCTAAAGGATGGGGACAGAATTAGAAGTTGTTAGAGAAAGGACAGAGTGGTTAAAAAGGAAAAGAGCACACCTTATTCAGAATATACATCATAATAGCTGATATGTTATGGTTGGTCGCACAGTCAGCCAGATGTTGAGACTGGATTTGGCATTTTTATCCACCTATGGAGTCCTTCCCAAGGACCTGGGATAGGAAGAAGTTGTGGTTTGATGGTGTTAAAAGTATCGTCGCAGGATGTGAGCTGTTCCAAGCAAAGCTGCCTTTTGCAACGGACTGATGGTGATTTTGTCAATGCTGATGGCCTTCAAGTGATGCTCCAGATGTTTTGGGACTGTACCCAAGGCGCCTATTACTATTGGGACTATCTTTGCTTTCTTTTGCCACAGATGAAGATGAAGATGATGATGATTCCACTCTTCCCCCCAAAGGAGCTCAATGGATTTGATTTAATTTGATTCTTCTGGAGCAGGCAGCCGTACCAAATCAGATAAATTAAATTAATCTAATACTTGGATTCTAATAAATTAAAAAGTAATACCATTTTGATGAAAAGAGAATAATAATAGGGTAAAATTCCAACAGCTACTGCAGGGCAGATCACACAACGTCTTTGACACCCCTAAGAGTCCCATTGACCACCTTTGGCATCCATTCACTTGGTGCCAACGTTCCCCTCAAACCACATTTAGAGCTCTATTTATTCTGGCCGCTCAACTCCGGAGACCGGGAGAGTGAAAAAATCACTCCCCTGAGCGGAGTTTAGCCAAACATGGCTGAAGACTCACATGTTCCAAGAACGAGACCAGGAAACGGTTCAGCGCATAGTAGCCTTTCAGCCTCTGTTCGTGAAGATCTGGACGGCTGCGGAGCCCTCTCTGAAGCTGCAAGGAGAACATTCACGGACTTTAAAAGTTCAAACCTGTCCCCGGTACGCATCCGTGAAAAGGAGGGGAAAAAAATGGATTTATTTTCCTCTGATCTTCCCTTCGGCAGGAGAGATGTCAGTTCAATTTTCACCTGCCGTGCTTGAGAACTCATCTCCAGCCACAGAGGGAGTTTTCAATTAGAAAGTGAAGTAGGTGGGAAAAAGCAGGACGGCTATGTTCAGCCGCGTGGCCGCTGTTCCTTGAAGGAGCTGAACCCAGAAAGTTCAACCCAGGTTCACTTCTGATTAAGAAGTAAAAAAATAACATGGTTTTGTGGCACCCTGGAGCTAGGTAGATTTATTGGAACATCTGTTTCTGTCATCTGCAGCCCAGGCCTTCAAGAAGTCCTTTTAGTGTGCAAAACCCCTGCCATAATAAATCCAATATTAAATGCTTCTAGGTTTAGGCGGGAATTGCTATTTTTCTCTCTGCCTACCTTTCACAGAGAACACGCACAATGTTTTTGCCACCCTATGGCACTCTTTATCATTTTTCTGAGTGACCTCAAGAGCTTTTTGCAGCTCTAGCTTACAACAATCCCCACCATTGGAGGAGGATGAATTGAGGCTCTTCAGAGCTATTGTGCCTTTAAGTAGAAGCTTCCTTCTTATTGTTTCAGCCTAGCTGCTCCCTCCCTTGCCCATGAATAATCAATTGGTAGTTAATTAGCACTGTTCTCCCCAGAAGTGCTTCAGAAGTGCTTCCACAACCATCTTGTTTCCCATTTAATATGAAGTAGCATGAAAAAACAGCTTCGAAGTCAAAATTGCACAGGCCTTGCTTCTAAGCTAATGCTGAAAGGTACCGCTGGACTACAGAGTTAAAAGCATTATGTATTCGCCAGTACGAGATGCAACAAAATGTGTGTCATTGCACCACAACGTTTGCCCCTTATGTACATGCATGTCACCATGCACATAATAAAAAGGGGGGTGATGTTGCAACATTGCAATACGTGTTTCATCAACTGCATCTACTGCTTCCCCTCACAGATACCTGAGGAGAAAAACGTTGAGTTTCAAGACAGATTTAATGCACTAAAAGCATGCATGCTGGCTGGGGAATTCTGGGAGTTGAAGTCCACACGCCTTAAAGTTGCTAAGGCTGAGAAAACTGGATTAGATGGATCACCGAGTCTCTCATCTGCCGTGAAGGGAAGGCAAATTATTCTTAAGTATGTTTGTGCAGCATTTCTGAAAAGCAATTAAGGACAAAATATTGCAAGCTCTTGTACCTCTACTAACGAGAGGAGGATTCTGTCGTAGAAGGTCCGAGTCCGGTCAGTGAGAAGCACTTCGAATGTCTGCACCTCAGAGTAAGCCTCCAGGCCCCTGAGAGGACAAAGGTTGTCCTGGGGAGAGCACCAACAGGAAGGGGAAAAATTACAGGAGGAAAGCCGAACACACGAATAGCAGATTTTTAAATATTTGCCAGCTCCCTACTCCTCACTTAAATTCTGGAGATTTAATTGATAGGAACGTGTTTGCTCCATGCAAGGATCCAGATTAAAGTATCCGTAAGCACTGGCTGTTCAGCCTCTGTTTGAACACACTCATTGAAAAGAAGCTCACCATTCCTCCCAGTTCTTTGCTTCAGTGTTCATCGGCTTTTAGCCCCGATAATTTTTTCCTAATCGTAAGCCTACATCTGCCTTCCTCTGACTTAAATCCATTGTTCTGCGTCTTGCTCTCTTATAATTTAAAAGAGATAACCAGGAGAAAGATTGGATGAGGAGGGAAGAGGAAAACAAACCCAGGGCCTTTGTTTCCTGGAATCTGCTGAGAAGACCCCAGTGGAGTTGAGACTTTGGAGAAGAGAAGGGGTCCTCCTCCCAACCCTCTGCTACGTCCTGATGGCTACTAAGGAGACCCAATTCAGTTACTTTGGAAGAGCAAGATAAATTCATGGAGGTCAACCGGTGGCTTTTTGTTATGATGGCTCCAATGATCAGCTGAGGAACCAAAGCAGAAGCGCTCATAGGTTGCTATTCTCCTTGCAGGCTTCCGTGGGGTTGGACAGAAAATGAACGTTTGTTAGGAGGCAACAAGAAGGAGCAAGGAGGGGAATAAGTTATGTCTGCAACCAAGCGGCAGATAACCTCCAGCCACGCTCACCTGAAAAGGACCAAAGAGAACGACAAACCTTTGCAAGACGTTGTTACAAAGAGCAAGCCTCCAAGGAACATGATGAAGAACCAAAGACCAGAAGCCAGGATTACCTCCTCCTTCTTGAGATGAGAGAGCATGGTGTCCAAGCCCACATCAGCCTGTCCGTGGATGCTTCTCCCGTGAATGTAGAATCCGTAGCATCTGTGGGTCAGGATGAACACTGATACCTGCAGAGATTACAAAGAGACTCTGGACTGTACGCCAGTGAGAAAAGGACTCTTCCAAACACACCTTGCTTATTTTGTTTAAGAATTAACGTATTTCCCCCCAGGTTGGCTTGGAAGACCAAAGGGCAATTTAGCCTCACTCAGCATACACGGGAGTGGGGGACCCGATTATGAAGTGGCTTGTTCAGATAGAACTCCCTATGCCCTCATTATTATTAATAGTTGAACTACATTATTGTTGCTCTCTTTTCTTTGGAAATCTAAAAGGAGATTGCAACATCTTTGTCTGAGGGAAGGAACATTTCTGGAGCTGAAATCCATCCTTAAAAGATGGGATGTGGTCAGGAAAAGCAGGCAGTTCAAAAGGAAGGAACGGGTAAGAGAAGAGCAAAAAAGAAGAATCCAGAATCTAGTTTCTACATCAGACATTCTCACGTCCAGATGTGTGCAGTTTTGCTTCCAGGATTCTCAGCAATGGTCATGAAGTCCGCACATCTGGAATTGGCCTAGGTTTGGGGAGCACATGATTTAACCTGATGTGGTGACTTTGGTGCATGGGTGTGACTCACATTGCTCAAGGAACAAAGGTCAACGAACTGATGAATCTTGTTCTCCACAAAACGTTGATACAACCCAACAGACACCAGCATCTGCAAGAGAACTAAGAATACTTGAGTAACTGCAACACAGGTCAACTTCCCCCAGGAATTCAGAGACGCTTCTTGCAAAAATCCTTGCTGCCTTTTCCCAATCAATTGGAACAAGTCAATACATGTTGAGAAACCCTTTAGAATACTTTTTGGAGGAAGAAAATGCTGCATGAAAGGTGAACATGCCTCCAAAGGAACGCATAGACGGAATTTAGGTTAGCAGAGTGAGTCACATTTTTTTCTCAACACTTCCAACACTCTTGAGTGTGATTAGGCCATCATCTATCACCCACCTTTCATCTGGTTGCTATTTATTTTCTTGTGGAGGTAGGAAAACTTCCTTTACAAATTTATCAAGATAAGGAGGGGCCACGTCATTTTACATGCAATGGAGCACTCCTTTCTCATGTTACACCTTTTGCTTTTTGCAACAGGATGATTTGGAAATATTCCATTTGCCCAACCTCAAAGAGAGAAGAAAGAAAGGAAAATGACCTGCACAACGCCCACCACCAGCCAAACAGAAGCAGCAATCCCAAAACGAAGAATAGGGCTCCAGGGAGCCTGGTAGGCATTTGGGTCAGGCTGGAGACTGACATCCAGGTCTCTTGATGCGAGGTTTTTCAGTCCCACCACCTGTTGAGCAAAAGAAGGCCAAGTAATTCCCTTGTGGAGAGATCTTCTCTTCAGCTACAGCTCACTGGATGACCCTGGGTAAGTGTTCTCATTCTCAGCTGTAACATGAGATTAATAGTGCACAACCATACAGTTTGTTGTGAAGCTGTTGGCCTAGGAAGGAAATCAAGGTTCTCGTCCACCTCAGCCATGGAAGCCTCCGGGTGACCTTGGGCCAGTCATGGTCTTTCAGCCCACTCGAACTCCCAGGCTGGTTTTTGTTAGGGGGGGAAAATGGTCTTGTACTACAGCTAGATATAGATGCATACCACACACAAATGCTGCTTAGCATTTCCAAATTTTACACGTTCATTGAAAATGTTCTTGGGTGTAGACTAGGCAAGTGCAGAGCTGCCGTGAAGCAACTGTGCCTGCATACCATGCTAAGCTTAAAGTTGGTTCACTGACTAAACCACAACTGGGTTCACACCAGACATTAAGCCATCAAACATGATTTACAAAGTACAAGACCTGGTTTAGGCAACATGCTGAGCCCCCTTCCCCCAATTAGGGGCAATGTGTGAACCAACCAAAAATTGCTTTTATATACTATACATCACCATCCATGTCCCATTGATGGTCACTATCTTAGGTGGCTTCCCAAGGGGATTGGACTAGGACATGAAGGAGAAAATGGGTTGTTGGCTTGGTCCGCCCAGGATTTTCCTAAGAGGATGGAGGAGAAAGATCACCAGAACAGGCCAGTGAGAACAGGGACTGCCTGCCATCAGCCTGAGATTCCAAGTTTCCATTCCTGGCTCTCGAGACCAGCAGACGTTTGCATGCCTGCAGAATCTTTCTCAGGGCTGCAGGTAGAAACCAGCAAAGCTCAGCACAGTGGGCCCTCCTTTGTCTCGCACTGACCTCCAAAACCAACAAAACAGCAAACAGCTGAAGCGAAGGATGCACTTTCCTGTGTGTCTGGATTTCATTCCACTCATTAGCGATCAGAAAAGTCCTCCAGGCACTCACTGATGAAGCTGCCCCTGGTCCTCCTGAAACAAGGTGGGGTGGAGCAGGACGACACATGCAAGCAAACAGAAACAATGGGCTTTATCAGAAGACTCTGCATGCCCCTCTCAGATTTTTTAACAAAGTGCAAAGCTCGGTGTGCTGGAGTTTCCTGGAGCCTTTCCTGTACGCTCATCTGCCTCTCTGATAGCAAATCATTCAGTGCAGCTTCCAAAAAGGGTTGGAGCAATTCATGGATGTCCTGGGGATCCATGGCTATTAGCCTTGATGGCATGGGACCACTTCTGAAGGCCATTGTCTGGGAGACTGATGGACTTCCTTGGGCAGTTGGGTGGCCACTGGGAGAACAGACTGCTGGGCCAGATGGGTCAGGGGTCCGATCCAGCAGGGCATGGGTGATGTCTCAAGTTCTGAACCTGAGGCCCACTGCTTTCTCATCTGCTGATCTGCTGATTTCCCAGAAGAAGCTAGCCCTTGGAATGATTTAATATTGTGGCTCATTAAATGAGTGACACCACAAAATGGCTGTGTGATGTAACACTACCCTTGTTCCGGGGGAGTCAAACCTTTGGATCTTTGAGAACGTCCTTTAGTTAGGCTAATAGCAAGTGTACTGGATCAGACCTTGCTCCATGAGCAGAAGAACCCCATGTTACATGAACAGCTCTTTCTGCTGGAGGTCTCCTCGCAGCCCGAGACACAGAAGGCAGAAGACAAGATGATGTTCTCTTTGGATCATGAGTAAAATCAACACGCCTGAGTATAACTTCAGATATAGGTTACAAGAGACTTGGAAAGCTAATGAACGACTCCTTCTGGCCAATCAGGGTTTGGAGGACAGAAGGTGAGTTGGCTTGCTGCCCTGATTCTCTCCCAACAGGGAGATGAAATCCAAACTATTCTCATTTCCCATGGACTAAATCTGCACCCAAATATGTTTTCTATAGTTGAGAAACAAAGATATGGGCATTATCCAGATAGGAAATCAGCAGAAAATGGGATTAGAGACAATAAAGTCTCTTGAGAGACAAGCAAACTTATATGTATGGTTACTCCCTTCTTCAAAACTTTGGGATTTAGTAGAAATGCCCACTCTGCTTTATATTTTCTGTAACTGTCAGTCTCTCAAGCAGTAGGAAACCCAGAAGCATCCTTCAACTCAGGTCCCCCCAAAGGCCTGTTGGGTCTGGATTACCTTCTTCACTCACTTAGGAACTTCTGACTCTCACAGATTCTTCTGAGCACCCCAAGGCATGCCTTACTCTCTTACTTTCTCAAAGGAAAAAGCTTGTGTCAAATGCCCCACATCTTCCAAGGTTGCCTCTGAAGCCCAGTTCCCCACAACCTTATTTAAGCACTTCTTTGGGCTAGGTCCTCCTTTAAAAAGAGACCTAAAATGCTATAACCAAAGCAATAATAAATAATAACCTTTCGCTGATGGTCTTTCCTTCGGCTTCTCCCAGTCTATCAGGAAGATGGAGATTGTTAACTGGGTGATCATAAGATGGAGGAGATCCAGGCTCTAGAACAAGAGAGTCCATTGGGAATTATGTCTCTGTGACATGGAGATAGGTTTGGCCTAGCTTAAGAGGGTGACCTCTCCTACAGCAGTTTGCAAAGCCTGCGCCCTGAGTATCTTCAGAGGAGGAGCAGAGCAGAGGTCATCTTCAACTCAGACGCCTAACACTAAGCCGATGGAGATTTGCACAAGTGCCGGGGTCCTACTGGCCACTAAGCCTTCTGGGGCTCAGATTTGGGGCATGATGAATGAGCAGTCCAACAGGGAGCAAAGGTTTCTGCCCTTAAGGAGGACAATGGTCAGCCACTACCACCCTGCTGCCAAGAAAACAACATGGCACATCTGCCATGAGGTCATCAAGAATGAAGCTGGACTTGGGGGAGGTTTTTAAAGAAAGGATGTTAAGCCGGTTGAAGAACGCCAACAGTGCTGCAAAGAATTAAGCAGTGGGAGGTTTATCTACTATGCAATGTCTCTTTGTGGGGGGGCGGGGGGAGGCCTTGAAAAAATGCATGGGATTTTTCATCTGTTGATAAATCCTCGGGCAACTACAATTCCCAGACAACACGCTATAAAATATGCCTTGGTGGAAAAGGTTGGTTTTCTGCCAACTCTTGATCCAGATACAGAGGCTGCTGGGACCACTCTTGAATTGCAGATTTGCATGACAAAAGTCACATCATCTTCCTCAAAGGGAGATCAATCCTCTCCAATTTTCCTGCAGGGAGGCTCTGTCATGCCAGCTTTAAAACCGTCCAGCAGGGTTTCTCAAACTTGCCAAGTTTGAGAAACACTGCTCTAGAGAATGAAAATTTTCCAAGACACAGTGCCAAAAACACACAAGCTTCTTCATGCCCAACTCTTCCCAACCTCTTACCTTCAAAACAAGAGCACACGACGCATAGATGATAAAGTTGGTTTCTGCTTGGCTACCGGAAGCTGGGAGTGTAATTTCCACTGTAGAAAACTGCTGTCCCTGCCGAAAAAAGGCAAATGGAAAAGATCTTTCTGCTCATGAACTTCTATAAGCCTCGGTGCAAACCACCTCCTCCTCCTCCTCCTCCTCCTCCTCCTCCTCCTCCTCCTCCTTTTTCTCTTCCTCTGAAAGGAGCCCCCAAACTGTTTACAAAAGCAATACAAGCAATATACACTAAAAATAATTAAAAAATAAACCCACGGAACACTAGGTGCACACAGACGCACATGCACACACCCACACACATCCTTACTTACCTTGAAAACAATCAACCAGTAAATGCTAATTCCCAGAGTGACCACGAAAAAGACATTTGCCAGAGATCCAGTCAAGCAAGCAAAGAATTTCAATACGGTCTGGAGGTCAAAGAAAGATTTTAACAGGAATGAAATTCTGAACCCTGTATGGAAAAAAGCAGTTTTGCACCCTCTTGTTTTTTAGGATCTAGCAAAGCCCAAGTAAAAATGGCTCGTGTCCCCGTCCAAGTAGCACAGGAGCATATAATTCTGAGATGCGACTCCCTTTCCAGAAGATCAAGATCAAAAAGTTCATGTCACCCTTACCGTAAAATTGATGTTTTGCAGGCGAGATCGCCGGGCCCAACTGCTGGTTTCCAACAAGGCACAGAGGACAGCAAGAAACCCCAGAACCCCGAAGGCAATCTGTGCAGAGACGATATGTGTGTGTGTCATTCTCAGCAGAACGCAGATGGAAAATATGCAGAACCATCTTGACGTTAAGTAAGCTGCTTTGCATAGTTATCTTGGGTCCGTAAGAACATACCTAAAACCTACAAAAAGCATCTTTGGGAACAAACTGATTGGAAGAGTAAATAGTGCAATAACCTTCCTCCAGCTAGATGTCTTCCAGATGTGTGGACTTCAACTCCCAGCATTCCACAGACCACACAGCCTCACCAAGAATTCCAGACGTTGAAACCTAACCCATCTTAGAAGGCATACAGGGTGAGGAAGCATGATATGGGGGAAAGGGTTAAAAGCATCTTCCTGGTGTGGCTCTTGTGATGGATTGGAATTATGAAGACCAGGGTCAGGGAGATAAACATTTTCTTAGCTCCCCAGAAGAGCGTGGGAGGAACAAGAGGATGACACTGGCACCTCCCTG